TAACAAGAAGTCTCACAGTGGAGACATTACCGGTGCCCACTCAAGCGAATTGATGAACAATGGGAGGAGAGTGCAGTGCTGCATTGTTACTGTATTGATATTAAATTTAATATTTTTCTGATTTATTTTATATATAAGATATATACTTTTATAAGGTCCTATCTTTTGAAAAAAATCCTTTAAAGTTAGTGTTGCCTTCTTTGGATGTTTTGCCTGGGACTTCATCTAGGATTAGAGATTTAATGGGGGTCTCAATTATGCAAGGCATGTGCCTTGTCACTTGAGCCATCTTCCTGGCCTCTCTCCTCCACTTCTGACTCCGTTTAAACCTTTGTAAGTGTAAGGAGGTCCTTGAGACCATTTTAAAGTTTGATTATTTGCTAGAAGTACTCATGGATTTCACGAAAGGCTTTTTTCTCTGGGTTATGATTTACCGCAGCAAAAACAATAGAGGTTAAAATCAGCCAAGGCATGTGGGACACAGAGTCCAGGAGCGTTTCAAGATTCAATTGTGCACTTCTCTCTCCCTGGGGAGCTCTGGGCAATAAACGTCTTCCAATCCACACAAATTGTTAAACAGGGAAGATCATCCAAATGTTTTTGTATCCAGAGATTTTAGGAGGTACTGGTTATGGTTGAGTCTCCACATGATTGACCTTAGTTTCCAGCCCCTCTTGAAGATCCAGATAATACTGTATGATCCCAAAGTCCCTACTGTTAACAAACCACTTGTTAGCATGGATGTGTGGTTTGACCCACTGTCCACAGGAAATGAAAGGCACTCTTACCAAGTAATACTTTTTTAGGGCCTAGAAAGCACTTCAGTGGAGCCAGAGCTTTTGGGTTAGCACAGTCCTTTTCTAGACAGCATGCTGTTTTTCTTATGCACTTTCTTTTTATATTAGTTTAAAAATATTTTTGTATTGTGACAAATATAATACAGATGACAGTATATACAAAATCTACAAAGGATGGTAATTAAATAACCTAAATCAAATACCCATAGCTGAAGAAATGAATATCATTTGTATTGAAAGACATATACAACCTCTAGTCTTATTCTTCCTGTGATAAGTAATATACATTGAGTCTGTGATTAGAAACTTCCTTTAGTTTCTTTATAGTTTTATATACCATGAACATTTTCCTAAGCGTTTTATTCCCTGCTTTTGACTAATTATGAATTTTACATGAAATCTTGCCATTTAAATGTTTATGCTTTGCTTGGTTGACATTTGAGTTGTTTCCTTTTTCTGATGGTACTAAAGTAGGTAGGTGCAAACTGTGGCCTTAGGCCATATCTTATCTATTGCTGTTTTATTAAACACGATTTTTATTGAATCTAGCCTGGGAATTTATGTCTTGTCCAACGCTGTTTTTATGCTCCAGTAGCACTATTGAGTGTTTGTGACAGAGATTGTATGGCTCACAGAACCTAAATATTTACTATATATCCTTAACAGGAAGTTCGGTGATTCTGCCCCAAGCATTTATTTGTTCTGAATTTGTTCCAATTTGCTTCTTTACCATCAGTGTTTGAGTATTACTGCTGCACATACGCATTAGCCCTTGGTTTTCACAAGGATCTAATGTGACTTCTTAAAAATCAGCATGTTCTAATTTGTTTTGCTTCTGATGATTTGTGCTCTCCAGTAATTCTGGACAATCCTCTGATATTCTCTGTCTCTGTCTCTTTCTCTCTGTTTCTGTCCGTCTCTGACTCTCTCTCTTACTCTCCTCTTGCCACATCCCCCATTTTTCTTCCCATTCTCCTTGTGATTTCCTTTGGAATCACAAGTGGGCATTTGGGAAATTATCCCCTATATCATCTGTGTCTCTTGGTTTGCTGCTTTTCTATACCTTTGACTTTGTGTTGCTTAACATTACTTCTTTGCCTACTTCTTTAATGTCACAACTTTTTCCTTTATATGATGATCCTTTCATATATTCAGTTTCAGTAGTTTAGTATATAAGTGTGTGTGTATATACACATATGTTTGTTTCCCTCCCTCCCTCCCTCCCTCCCTCCCTCCCTTCCTTCCTTCCTTCCTTCCTTCCTTCCTTCCTTCCTTCCTTCCTTCCTTCCTTCCTTCCTTCCTTCCTTCCTTCCTTCCTTCCTTCCTTCTTCCTGTTTTTGGCAGTGCTCAGAGATTATACCTTGCACTACACTCAGGAATCACTCCTGGAAGTCCTCAAAGGACCATATAGGATTCTGGGAATTAAACTCAGATAAACTTCATCCAAGGCAAGTGCCACACCTGCTGTACTATGACACCTGCCTCAATTTCTAAAAAATATTTTTTCTTTCTCAATTTTTAAAAAATTTCTCATGTTCACTTTCCAGTGATTTAAACTTTAAAAATTTTCTATAAATAATTTTATTTCTTCAGAGATTTGTTTTCTTTCTTGTTGCTTCAAAATACATTTAAAATTTAGATGATTTTTTAATAAAGACATTTTGATACTTCCTGGAATGTGAAATTATAATTTATTTCTCTCTTAATTCCTGTTTTATGCCTCAGAGGGTTTTACATATCGTACTTAATATATTATGTAATACTTTGTTATTTTTTCTTTTTTCTATAAAGTTATATGTTTTTTCCTATTTAGGCCTTGTGGTATTATTTTTGGATTTATTGAATCACCATGAGAACAGTCACAAAGCCTTTCAGTTCAAGTCTCGGTTGGTCATACAATGATCAAACACCTGTCCTTTCACCACTGCACATTTTCCACCCCCAAGAACCCCAGTATACTCACCCTCCCACCCCCCCGCCTGTGTGACAGATTTGCACTTTACTCTCTCTCTCTCTCTCTCTCTCTCTCTCTCTCTCTCTCTCTCTCTCCTCTGATCACATTCAATATTATGACATAAGACCCAGAATTGTTACTTGGAATTTTCCTCAATATTAGAAAATTTATTTTCTATTGCTGATTATGAAGAGCATATGATGTTGTGTGGCCACAATAGCAGCCACATGAATTTGGATTTCTGATATTTTAGTAATAAACCTAGAGGGATTACTGCCAAAAGCAATTTGTGTGCCTCTGGGATCATGGTTGTTCAGAAACCAGAGGAGGCGTTTTTTGGGTGGCAACCTTGATCATTGTCATGGGGAGCAGGGCCAATTCCACCCCCCATCCCATGAGGCACCTCATGCCTCGTCAATGCAGTCTCATACCTGGCTGTTCATTAGGCCCTAAAAGATGCAAGCCACCATGTCACTCCTGCAAAAGAGGGCAGGCAAAGCGACAGAAACCCTTCCCATCCCAGGGCAGCATAGCACCATAGTTAAATACACACTCCAAATGTATTATTTTGGTTGGGCATTATCTTTTGCTCAGATTTTCCCACCACCATTCAGGCCTGATTTTCAGGTACAAATGCTAGATCATCTACTTTCCATTGATCACTTTGCATATCCGGAAATGTCCTGGATCGGAACACCATCAACCACTACAACTATAAACCCCAAATGGTGGTGACCTTGCACAAATTATCTCACACTGTACTCCCATTAATTATCTCCCTCTTAACAACCCCACACACAGTTACCTAAGCTTATATATATTTGCTAAGTGAGGGTTTGTGGGATAGTAATTAGATTTCTTATGTCCTATGTAAATGAGGGTTTGTAGTACTAAATAGTTGGATTGTGTATGAAATCAGGAACCTATTAACATATTATTTTATCAGATTTAACATTTTATTAGAATGTAGATTTTATTCCCAACCTATGATTTTATTCTTATTCCTTATCTCTTTGGGATCTTATTTCACACTTTTGTGCTTTTTAGAATTTGCTCCAGGGTTATCTGTTTTTAATTTTACTAATCTCTATCGCAATATCTTCTAGGTCTATTTTTCTGTGTTCTTGGGATATTAAGATTTTTACACATACATAATTTCTTGCATTATTATCCCATATTTATGACTATTTGGGTATTGAGATTTGCAAATGAAGCTGATGATAAGAGCACAGATGGTACCCTTGTTAATCATTTGTAAAAGATACATGATATCTTCAGAATTCTGAAAAAAGACTGCTCAAAAAGCAGCTTATCGTTTTTTAATTTCATAAAAAAATAAAAAAAACTTATAAAAATATCATCTAATAAAATGACATATTAAGTTCATTTTATAACTGTCAGCCTATTTGGTAGGAAGTTCTGAGTATGTTCAACTAAGGGCATCTATCCAAAGCAAGGAGAAACATAACAAAAGGAGGGAGATAAACCAGAACACTAAATTCAATACTGTGAAATACCCTTATAACCTTTGCAAAGATCACTGTGTATTAACACTCTATCCATGAGATATTAAGAAAAATATAAACACTGTTGGGATTCTTGGTAATAACATATTATTCAACCTAATCCATTTGAACAGTTTCCCAGGAATATCTGTTTCTAATATTGAATGTTTAACACATTGACACCAGTGCAGCAGTATGTATTAATTAAAAAACATCTAAGTGTGAATCATAGGTAGTACTTGCCTATGTTAATGTGTTATGCTTCAGTTCTATGAGAAGACCGTTTCTTTGGTATATTGTCTTCAACCTTTCTGAACGGTGAAATGCTATTACAACTTATAAAGTGTTAATATTTTACTTAGCAATTAAAATTTTTTCTGAGTTATTTAGTAAAATTTGGAAACATTATACAAGTTAATAGCATGCATTTTAATGACTATTATACACATATTGGGGTATTGTTTCTTTTCATTACAATATACGTTTTAGTGTAATAAGCATATCTTAATTTATTTAAGTCACATGAAAACTGGCAACATTTCTATGCAGACTAATAAGCATTAAAAATTAACATTGAACTTGTTTAAACACAGGTTTTAGAACTAGAAAGCAATCTAAAGTTTGCTAATGAAAGTTTCCCTTACAGTATTATATTGATGTTTAAAACCTCTTCTTTTATGAATTATTATTTTATAAACAGAACTACAGATCAACTTGTTTTCTAATATTTTTTTTTTCTCCCAGCAATCTTCCTGAGTTCTTTTCGGGTGCCATATGAGGAAATCAAAATGATGATATTGGAAGTGGATGAAACACACTTGGCAGAGTCTATGATTCAGGTAAACAAACAGGCAGAGAGCTTAAATTCCAATATTTTATTGCAAGCTTCTCATTAAATAGAAATCTGTAAGTGAAGCAAAATTCTTAAACCAAATCATTCAACTGGAAAATAATTGCTGCGTAATTAGTTTTACCATGACTCCAGCTTTGCCTGAAGATAAAACTCTGCATCTTCTCTTAACTGTAAACTAAATATAATCCTATCAAAATGATTACATTTCAATTATTTTAAATGATTATTCCTTGAAAGGCAAATTATTTAATTTTACATTTATGTTTAGTTACAGTTAAGTTTTTAATGTACTTGTTTAGATTTTTTTAAAATATCCTGTAGAATGTTGGTCCTAGGTTTATTATATCTGAAATAGTTCAATTAATTTTTCCATTATATTTGCCTTAACTGACATTTTTTTGTTATTTGTGCTGTTGTGAAAAGTAAGACTTGTTTGCAAAGTATCAGACTCAGTTTATTATATTTTGGTTCCTCAGGTTGTGCTTTGGACACCTGGAGTCTCACGGGTGATAGGTTCAGCCTATCATCAGGGGAACCCAACCAGTCCCTAGGTACAATGCCAGGGCATGAGGATGCAATGCTGCTCGGGCCCTGTGGTGCTGAACATACTCAGACCATGCTGGCAGTGCTTGGAGGCCCCCCCCGGACTATACCCAGAAATGCTAGGGAAGGACCATATGGTGCTGAGAATTGAACTCAGATGGGGTGCATGCAAGGCATGCACCTTAACCACTCTATTCTCTCTGGACCCCAAGGAAAAGTTTGTTTTCTACTTTGAGTATATTTTTTATTGCTATATGTTGCCAAAGATTTTTGCTAAATTTTACATACAGCATCAGTAGTGCTTGACACAATTGAAAGTTGGAACGTCAAACCACAGATTATATAGTGAGAGGACTGTATCTGTATTTTGTATTTCTGTATTTTAAAATAAAAATTGTTAGCAATAAAAGGAAATCATTGATTATCTGTTTTAATAGGGAATTTACACATCGATTATTTTAATTCACACATAAATGGCAGTCTTTGAAATCATTGTGGTTTGGTCTCTCCTATCTTTTTTTCTCACTATTATGGTGAGATGATACTATTTAGTGATGCATCTCTTATAAACTACAAAACCCAGCGGCTGGAGCAGTAGTTCAGTGGGTAGGGTGTTTGTCTTGTAAGACTAACCCATAATTGTTCCGTGACATCCCATATGGTTCTGGAGCCTCCCAGGAGTGATTCCTGAGCACAGCTGGGTATGGCCCCCAGATTGAAACAACAGACCCTCCTATCCACACCCTGCTCCCACCCCTGAAATAATTTAGCAATCATCTTAATGTAATCATTTTTCTTTTCATATAGAAATTTGGCAGGGGCATGGGTAGATTTTGTCTTTATTTTTGTTGATTTTGTATGTTTCTTGTTTGAAATAATTGAAATTCTTTAAAGAGAAAATTTCTATTTGATACGTATTTGTATCTTTTCATTATACAGAGTAGTATTTACCATGAATGCTTTGGTTGACAATGTGACTTGGTAGAAACTGAATTACTTGTTTTTTTAATATGGGGACCTACCCTAGCATTGCTCAGAAGAGGGTCCAGGTTACCATGCTCAATGGGGGTGACAGTTCATTGCTCAGACCTCCTGGTGTTTGGGGCCTTCTAATGCCATTCCTAGCAGTTTTGGGTGTAGAGGGTGAGGGATTATTTTCATTTTTCACTAGTAAGACAGACGCTATGGGTTGCCCGGGTTGCAAGCTACCCTTGACTGCTTCTGAGATTTTTCTCTTGCCTCTGTATGGCTTCCTACAGTCTGTTCAAAACATGTGTGCCCATTTGTGGCACCATCATAACTTCATGCAGATTAGTCACCCTTTCTGGAAGGCCACTTATAAATGGTATTCTCCTTCCTGTCTACTTCACTGATTCCATCAATCTTTTACAAATTCATTCAGAAAATATTTTATGGTAGTCTTCATATGTAGGATATTGTTAGGCTCAGTTATGTATAGACTGTACCTTCTTCAAATGTTAAACGTTTTTCAAAGAAGAGGACTTTGATATATATAATGTAATGCAAGAGAAACAAGTGTACCTGTGTTGTGTTTTCAGACCAGATGTTGTGTTACAGCAGTGCTAGGTGTAAATATATGTGGAGCTTAGAATATGTTCAGGATGAATACTTGTGTGGACATAGAAATGGGCAGATGGAAATTGTGAGTGGCGTAGGCAAAGGGCTGTTACTCTTCCAGCAATGTTCATTGAATTCTAAGGGAAAAGCTAGGTGTTTATGGATAGCTGAACAGAATCTATAAGTTTAGAATTTGTGAAGGGATGAGAAATATGAAAAAATGGGGGATAAAAGATGATTGGGTCTGTATTCTTACAAATCACAATAATTTTATTATTTTAGAAATGAAAAAAATGTGGAAAAATAATACAATTATGTGAAAACTTAAAATTAATTTTTTTAGCTATTCAGAGTGATCTGATGGTCATCTAAAAGTTTGCTGAAGAAATTCATATGCACTGCGTAATAAATTACTCAATTCATCTATCAACCAGATTATTTAATAAATATGTTTAACTATTTCATTCTTATGCAGTTTTACAAAGAGAAACTTCCGTATAACAGAAATAATTAAAAAAGTACCTTCATTGCTTTATTTTCAGCTTGACGTTTTGACTAGTGAATATGATTTTTAGGGATGCTCTTAAATTGCCACTTTTTTGTTTGTTTTTGGCCAGTCAACCAAGTTTTTATCCCAAGGTGCACAGTGAGTCAAAAATTTGTTCTTTGATTTAATTACATAACATCTCTAACGCAGTTTTAACTAATAGCACTTTTGGGTAATGTTTTGCCCCTAAGTATAGCATGATATAGGCTTAGTTATGATTTGTACTTAACTAGTGGTTTGCAGAGAATAAACTGATGCCTTAATTTGGAATTCTTAGCACCAACCACTTCTATTTCTCTCTCTTAATTTTAATATTGATGCACTAATATGTTATGATATTATAGTCTGTTGCACTTTGTTACACATGATCTGTAGATGGAGACTTTTCTCAGGGGGTTATCTCATCATTGAAGTTTTAACAGAGAAGAATAAATCATGTGTATTCCCTTGGTCTCTCTCCTTTGGGAATTTTCTTTTGTTTGAGTGAGTGGCTTGGGAAAAGCTGTGTATGGACAACAGGGCTGGAACAACCAAATGAATCTGTGTTATGCTAGACCAGAGGCAAAGGAGTATCTAGTGCCATAAGCACTAGAGTTTCCAGATGATTTCTGTATATGCTTACTAACCGTCTCGTACATAATCCTGTGTCTTTAATTTCCTTTCACTTCCTAAGGCTATTTTACCTTTGAGAGATTTCTTCATTTTTATTTAAAAATTGAAACTATTATTTTCCTCGATTTTAGTAGTTAGATGGATTCATTTTGTATTGTTATACTCATCATCATCATCATCATTATTATTATTATTATTATTACTATTTGGTTTTGGAACCACATCTGATGGTGCTCAGAACTTAATCCTGGTTCTGCTCTCAGAAATCACTCCTGGTGGACTCAGGAGACAATATGGGGTACTGGGGATCAAACTTGGGTTGTCTGTGTGTACCGTGTACAGGCAAGGGCCCTACTTGCTGTAATATTGGTCTGGTCCCCTGTTTCATGTTCTTGAGTGAAGAATTTATATATCTTTGGCTTTGTCAGAAATTTTTGGCATGTAATTCCCTAAGGCTAAAATGTAATTGATCTCATTTATTCAGGTGAGAAAGCTGTTCCTTTGGTGTAGGTTGCGTTCTTCTTTTTAAATTATATAGTAAATCAAGTAAAGATCCAGTAGTCCATGATTTAAATACATAACATCTCAGGGATAGAAAAGAAGAAAGCTGACTGCCAGCAAGTCACAGGAAATGTAGCTAAAAAATTAATATAAAGGGTGGTTATATTAAAATAAAACTAAAAAATTAACTTCCTAACTGCTTTTCTTCCAAAAGATGAATTTTTGTCTAGAGTTCACATTTAGTAAATATTCTTTCTTTGGTTTTAATTTTTAGAATTTAATCAAACATCTGCCTGATCAAGATCAATTAAATTCATTGTTTCAATTCAAGAGTGACTATAACAATTTATGTGAACCTGAGCAATTTGCTGTTGTGGTAAGTACAATTTCTGTGTTTAACTCTTTGGAGAGTATTTTTATGTTGCATCAAAAAACCTAAAGACAATTCTGAGCCTTTTCACACTGTTACTATTCGGAAGCATTTAATTCCCATATTGCCATTTTTATAATTTTAGATATATTCATTTGAAATGATCTTGATTAAAAAACAATATGCTGAAGCACTGTCCTTCAATGAAATTTTAGAGGTTTTAAAAAGTTGAAACATAGTTTGGTGGTGGGATGGGTTGAGCCATAGCTGGTGGTGCTTACACACTACCCCTGACCTGACTCTTTACTCTGGGATCACTCCTTGCTATGCTGAACTTGGGTCTCCTACATGTAGCCCAGTGTACTGCACATGATTTTTTTTTTATGGTCAGTTTAATGTCAAAGTACATCTAGAGTGCGTTTATGATTTATCATAGAGCAATGGATTCTAACCTATTGCAAAAGAAACTTCCCATTCCCCCTCCCCCCCAACCATTCACTTCAGTTCATATTTCATTTCAGACTCTGAAATTAGGAATATAGTTTCTTGGCAATGATGTTGAAAAATGAATACATTAAACAAAAATCTTCCCATCTCTCTTCAAATTTCTACTTTTTAGAAGCTGGGCTCTGAATAGGTGAAAATACTTCCATATGTATATGCATGCTCACATCCTAAGTTACATGTTAAATTTTAACTTAATTTTAAGTTTTTTTTTCAATTTGTTTTACTCAGTCTTCTGTTAAATCATGATTTTACTAGATTGCACTTGATCCATAATACAATGCATTATATGATTAAAGACAATGCATTATATGATTTTCTTTTTGTGTATACTTTTCTTCTTTCATATCCTCAAGTCATGCATATTACCAATATTCAGAAACATGATAGAATTTTATATAATAGTATTTTTAAAATTTGGGTAGATTAATAAAAAGTGGTTTCTTCATACCAGTTTGCATTTAGTAGGATTTTGCTCCTTAGCTCTTTTCTGCCTCTTTCAAAGTCCTCTTTTTTTTCTCTCTATTTGCAATAAGATTAAAGGCAACACATTTTGAGTTAAATCAGAGAATGAAATAATTTTCACTATGAAAAGTTCTAATTCTTTTCCTTGTTATGTATTGTCTTCATTTTTATCTGTTTATTGTCTTATCTTCATTTTCATCTGTTTTTGTTGTTTGCTTAATTTATTTTCATTACCTGATCTCTTTGTTTTGCTATTTGATGCTCTGTGTGCAGTGTCTTCCATATTAGAGTAGCTTGAATGGAGAATGTGCATTAAATTTTGACTGTAGATGTAAGATTTTGAATTTTACCCAATTAAAACAATTCTTGAATGAAAAATAAGGATGTAAGATTTGTAATTTTGGAATATTTCTCATGATTGTTAAATCAGAATCACTTTCAAGCTCATATGAAAATGTCCACTTAATAAGTAACTTTTAATATTGAATATCACCTCAGAAAGAACTCAGAATTGCTCCTACATTTTAGTGACAGCCGCAGAAATTTTAAGCTATTTTAATTTTATTGAAGATTTCCAGTTAATACCTTCCTTGAAGGCCTAGAGCCAATATCCAAGAATTGTGATTTTCAAGCAATCAGAAAGGTGAAATGACTAGATTCCAGGATACTAATTTTTAAAGGTTACCTTTTGGATTTTAGGACAAAAAAGACCACTTTATCTTTCTACCCATCTATCTATCTGTTTATTTATTTAGGATAAGAAGCTCAGACTTGGGGCTGAAACAATAGCACAGCGGGTAGGGCGATTGCCTTGCATGCAGCCAACATGGCCGACACAGGTTCGATTCCCAGCATCCCATATGGTCCCCCGAGCACCGCCAGGAGCAATTCCTGAGTGCAGGAGCCAGGAGTAACCCCTGAGCATCGCAGGGTGTGACTCAAAAAAGGAAAACAGAAAAAAAAGAAAGCTCAGACTTGACATTAAACGTATATAGCCCATGCCAGGTCATAACTGACTTCAGATGGAATTCATTGTGAAAAGAGTAATGTTGAAAAACATCTACTGTACACAGTATGAACCATGCTTTGTCATATGTTGATCATAGATTTTCTTTAGCTTTTTAAATTTTGGAGCCCCACCCAGCAGCTCTCAGGACTTACTTCTGGCTCTGGACTCAGGGGATTGCCCCGTGGAGGTGGGGGGATCTGAGGGGGAGCGGCGCTATATGATGCTGGAGATCCAACTCTGTTCAGCTGCATATAAGGCAAGTGCATTACCCACTGTGCTAGTCATCGCACTGGCCCCAGAACATGTTATTCTTAAATATTCAGTTCTGAGTTCTGTTTTGTTTCTTACTAACATTTGGAAATATTTTTGGTGAAGTATGGTGTGAGAGGGAGAAATGAGAACTTCTAACTTGATTTTAAATCACATGGTAAGGAACAGAGCTGCGTATACTCTGACCATCTCTAAGTATGTCTCAAAACAAACAAACAATTTCTTCCTGACACCCTCTAGTTTTTTTTTTTATTAGTGAAATACCATGAGGTACAGTTGTAGATTTACAATTTTTTGTGCTTGAGTTTTGATTATACAATGATCAGATACCCTTCCCTCCACCAGTGCCCATTTTCCACCACCATGGATAATATCCCCCCCACCCCCATCCCCCCATCTCCCCTGCCTCTGTGGCAGGGCAATCCCCTGTGTTCTCTCTCTCCTTTTGTGACACCCTCTAGTTTTAACTGCATCTCCAATGTCAATAAATAGAGATAAAAGTGGTTAAACTTGCAAACACTATCTGAACATTATGTCTAGAAAAGTGAACAAGTGAGGGTGCTGAATAGTGGAATGCCTAAAGTCATTTTATCCTCTTTCTGGAGAAAAAACTCAATTTTAAATTTCTTTGTTAGTTAAGGAGTGACATGCTTTTACTCTATCAATATTTTTACAATAATGCAATAATTTGGTGATATTTATTATATGGATTATACTTATATGCATATTTTTAAGATTCCAGTAGTAATAACTATCATTGAAGAAATAAATGAAACCTATTTTCAAGATGGACAAATAGAGGAAAACTAAGCTGCACATTTGTATAAGAATTTTTATCTTCTAGAAAACCATCCACTTATTTAAGCTGTATTTACAGAAATAATAAGTCTGCCTGAAAAATCACAAATGTGGAATATTCAAGGGTTGGGGGTGCCCATGGGCCCCAGGGTAATTACCATTTCATTTGCTTTCACCATAAATAATCTTGCTCTCATTTGGGGGTTCAATTGCTATAGAAAATTAAATTCATGTGTATTTAGATTTCTCAGAAAGTCATGTTCTCTTTACTCAAAATTAATGCAGGGAATATTGTTTGTAGCATATTATCAGGAAATATGTAGACAAGGGAGACAACTCTACCATGACACTATTTGTTTGATTTCTTTGATAGACTGCAAAAGCAGCACATCCCAAATGCAAGTAGCCAATATCAGTTAAAAATCAATTAGAGGGGCTGGAGTCATAGTGCAGTGGGTAGGGCATTTGCCTTGCATGCAGCCGACCTGGGTTTGATTCCCAGCATCCATATGGTCTCTTGAACACCGCCAGGAGTAATTCCTGAGTGCAAAGCCAGGAGTAATCCCTCTGCATCGCCAGGTGTGACCCTCCCACCCCCCAAAAAAGAATATATTTCTGTAATATATGCATAATATTTTTATCACATATTAATTATATTTAACTTTCAGGGATCTGTGTGCTCTAGAATGTTATATAGATGTTCTACTCAAGTTTTATGTCAGTATCCACTATATCTTTCCTTGGAGTTTTCTTCTAATCATTGTTTGATATGTCTTCAGGTTTCCTTTTACAATTTCATATCCATTCTTAGTCACTTCTCCCTTTAAATTTTATAAATGTTTTTAATGCTCATACAACCTCTGTTTCTAAAAGAATTAGTCTTGAGCACATGAGTTTTATACATGGGTACTTGAATGTCAATTCAGAATCTTAAAAAAAAATCTCACAGTGGAGACATTACTGGTGCCAACTCCAGCAAATCCATGAACAGTGGGAGGACAGTGCTATCTTCTTTGCATTCCTTAAAGGTTGGACTTTAGTCATTTTGAGCAGAGCATTTTTTTAATGCTTTTTGGGTCACACCCGGCGATGCTCAGGGGTTACTCCTGGCTCTGCACTCAGTAATTACTCCTGGCGGTGCTCAGGGGACCATATGGGATGCTGGGAATCAAACCCGGGTTTGTCGCATGCAAGGTAAATGCCCTACTCGCTATGCCTCACTCCAGTCCCAAGCAGAGCAGTTTTGAAGTTTTCATAATCTTATAGTGATGGTGGGTAGGCTAAAATTATTTTTTAATTTTATTTAAAAAATAAAACATGGATATATTTATCTGTTTACATATTTACTTATTTTGGAATTTGAGCCATACCTGGTTGTGGTCAGGTGTTATTCCTGACTCTGCACTCAGGAATTTCACCTAGTGGTGCTCAGGGGACCATATGGGATGACTGGAATTGAACCGAGGTCAGCCATGTGCGATGCAAATGGCTTAATCACTGTACTTTCATGCCACCTGAAGACTGATAGCTTTTAAAATTAAATTCAGTGCTATAAGGTCAGAAACCATTAGACTTAATGATAGAACTATTATTATTATTTAATTTGGGATTGAGCAATAGCACAGTGGGTAGGGCATTTGCCTTGCACATGGCCGACCTGGGTTCGATTTCTCCATCCCTTTCAGAAAGACCGGCAAGCTACTACTGAGAGTGTCTCGTCCGCACAGCATAGTCTGGCAAGCTACCCATGGTGTATTCGATATGCCAAAAACAGTAACAAGTCTCACAATTTGATGTGAGGCGTTACTGGTGCCCACTTGAGCAAATTGATGAACAATGGGAGGATAGTGCTATTATTTAATTCGCTGTGTTGAGAATGAACTGTGAGTTGCATATGTTCAAGTCTCGATTGTTGAGATACATCTTGATCCTTAAGTAATAGTTGATTGTAGTATATTTG